TGAAATCGGTTAAATGAAATTTGGTACACTGATAGTGATTAATTCGACAAACTCGGTGGTCTAGGGGTTTAGCACACCGCTTTATTTCCGAAGGTCGCGGGTTCGATTACTCGCACGGTAGAAATATTTGTATTCATGAGTATGGTTGTTTATGTCGGTCTGGGTGTTTTTATGTATATTATGTATGTATTTACAAATAAATCTATGTATTTATATCAGTTGTCTGGTACCCATAACACAAGATTTGCTTACCGTGGGACTAGATGTAGTAGTGTTAATTGTCCAGGGTTATTTTAATGCCAAAAAAGGGTTGTAAGGGGTTGAAAGGGGAAATTAATGTTTGTTTGGGATTCTGTATGTTGTCATTTTTAATGCTAGGAGCTTGAAACTTATTTTTTACGCTATTGTTTAAATACCAATAAATATAACAATCAAAGTATGTACACATTTACCCTTAAGGGGGTAAAATAAACTAGGGGATGAAAGTTTGTATGAAAATTCTTCATTACTCAGCAGCTGCGTACAGACTGCTAGCCAAATTACGTAATAATTATTATAAGCAAGTACAATAAAAATAATAAATTAAACACTTGATAAATACATACTACAACAGTGATAGTTTTTATTAATTTTATTACTGAACGAAACTTTAGACTGTAAACGAAAATATAACCAAACGATATTTAAAAAAAAACGAGTCGCTTTACGTGCGAGTTGCGCGAGACGATGACAACTTGCGACGTTGTTACGTCGATTTGAAAGTGAGCGTCGATTCGAAGTACCAAGGCGGCAGAAATACAAGGAGGTCGGTGTAACGTCTCGCAGCCGAGATGTTACGTCGGTTCGGCCCGCTTGGCGCCGTTTAGGTATTCATTACAACAGAATACCTATTAGTGTTACGGCATTATCTATTTATTTAAGCGATAACAGATAACAATTACAATGTATTATTATTATAAATATGAAGAAAACTAGACAGTGTTTTTTATGTATGTTGTAATGGTATTCGAAAAATCTTTAATCAAGCAATCTTAATATAAATTTTTGAATAGTAGAAGAATGATCTAGAAACTTTCCTTTCCTTCTTTTAAACAAATATTCACTTTTGTAATTGTAACATTTTAACTTATCAAATATCACCAATTCATTTCGATGGCAATGAACCAGTGAAGTATAAAAGTATAAGAATAAAATCAAACTATTCCTTGGAGTTATCTATTCTGATTTATATGAGACCTCCCCTGCGCTTCTGTGAACCTAGTCCGATGCGCCCACCGCTACCTGTTGTCTTCTCCGCCCCTCTTTTTTTATGAAAGACTTTTTATACAACTTGCATCTCAGGACCACTTGTTGGATCCGTCTATAGATATTTTTTTTAATTTATCTTTTAATCACCATCAACCAGATGAACCATTACAATGAGCTAAAATATTTTATTAAATGTAATGAAAATCTTACACTTCTTACTACTATTATAACCTCGAAATTTTGTGAGTAAGGATGGATGGATGTTTGTTACTTTTTTACGCAAAAACTACTGAACGGATTTTGATGAAACTCTAAGTAATGTAGCTTATACATCAGAATAGTATATAGGCTAATATAAAAATGTTATTATGTAAATTCGGCGAAATATAATGTAGTAATTAAGTGTGATGCAGACGAAGTTACTCGGGTCAGGATTAGTAATAAAATTTCATTAGCAATCACTTTTAATATTATACGGCCGTGACAGTACAATATAATATGATTTTTATACACGTAACATGTAAGATATTGTTAAATAATTCCTTAAATGACTCTGACTAAAAAAAATATAAAAAACATAGCCGTTGAGTTTTTTGCAAGTTCTTCTCAACTGAAGTACATGGCTAGCCGAACTGGACCGCAGGTAAAATGGTTACCTTTGCAATTCTAGTTACATGATAAAAAATCTGAAGATATTATTAACATTATTCAATTAATTTATGAAATGCTTAGTATGGATGGATGTTTGTTACTCTTTCACACAAAAACTACTGATCGGATTTTGATGAAACTTTACAGTAACATAGTTTATACATCAGAATAACATATAGGCTATAAATTGCAAGCGAATCAAACAGCGGGCACAGCTAGTAATAATTACAAGGGTACCAAAGCTATTTCTAGTTACAGAACGCTCAATGAATTATTTATTAGAAAACTAGTTCACGTTAGAGGGAGTAAAAACTCGCTCTTCCGTTGGTGTTTTTGCAATCAATATTTTAACGGTCGCAGGGCCATCGTCGTTATATCCTAAGTGTTTTATTTTTGTATTTAAATTGTATAATTCAATATTATTTTTATAAATGCAAAACTGTTTATTTTTTAGTTTTCGCGACTAATCGGTTGAATGGATCTAAATGAAATTTAACTTTCACGAGAGCGGACGTAGTTTATATTTTATCTCAAAAAAGTAGCTGAGCTAGTGTAGCAGTTAGTAATCATTTATAATATAGGTTTATAATTAGACTAGATCCGTCCCGGTTTCGTGCGGGGCAGTTATACCACGTACATTTATGTCTATATTTATAATTGAAAGTTCAGTCCATGGTATTCACTTATTAACACACAAACACTATTTAAAATCTGTCAAGTAATTTCTTAGTATAAGTTCATCTCATATAGATATCAATATGAGATGAACTTCTTAGAAATATGAAAGCGTAGCGGTTTTTGTATTGATTGCCGCATGCATTCTTATGTAAAATGTGAATACTATAACTATCAGATGGCAATTTTAAGTAGCTTTGACGTGGTCTAGTGTTTTGAGTAGTCATGCTCACTAAAATGTTCAGACTTGTGGCGGCGTGGTGGGCCGGGTCATTGGGCTCACTAAAATATGGTCGAGCGCAGTGATGGCTGGCTCATCCGTCATACTCGTGAACGGGTGCTGCTTGTAGGGACTGGTCTGCTCTAATCACTATGACTGATTTCCTCTTATAAATTGTTTAACCAGTTGGTTATATATTCAATATTTTTTCTATTTGAGTATTTAATAGAATTAGTGCTAATTGATGGTTTGTATTCACACACTTAAACTTAAAAATGTAAAGTAATAATAAAATTATTTAAAAGAGCAACACGCAAGTTTCTTGCTCGTTCTTCTTGTGATGAGACAGCTTTCCGAACGAGCGGTAGATTAAAAAATGTAATGACTATTCAAAAGTGCTTCAATGTAAGTTTATTTGAATAAATGATTTTCTATTGTATTCTATTCTATTCTATTCTTAGAATTCCACGAATTCACCATAAGGGAGCTGAGTCCATGGCATGGCAGAAAGGGAAACCCCGAGCAGTTCCCGGAACTTGTGAACCGGGTGTAGGTCTAAGAGGGTCCTTGCCGTACTTCAACACTCACCTTCACGGCTCGTGTTTCTCTCCCTGTTCAACCAAATCTGCTAGGAGCCTGCTAGTGCAGCTTTAGATACACATTCTAGTATAGATCTTACTGGAGTTCTAGATAGGTCAGAATATTTTAGAAGATCATAGACAAATTTCGCTTGGTAAATACTTCGACCGTGTAAATAAAATTATTAAACTAATTTATTTCCCGGGAAAATACTGACAGTTAATATAATATAAAGCACAGTTAGTACTTACACAATATACTCCGTGTCAAGGCTACCGAATTAACACCTTTATATACAAAAATTACGTGTCACGTTGTTTGTCCGCGATGAACTGAACCGATACCAAATTTGTTTTGCAAATTGTGTGCAATTTGATCCAAATTGAAAGATAGGATAGCTTACATCTCAATTTATAGTCGCAAAACCTTAGTCACAGCAACGCGTGGCCGGGTCTACTAGTATATGTATATATACGACTATTTCCAACTAAATATTATAAAAGGAGTGAGCAGATTTTGTTAGTATACTTTTGTAGTAACAAAATTCTTTCACTGTTTATAAGGTACATTATTCTAGACTCTAGAATGTCTGTAGAATGCCCGTACCACTCAAGAATTGAGAGTGAATATGTAGGCAATGTTAATATATACAAAATTACAAAACTTATAAAGTTATGAGCATCCGCGCGTAGCCACGACTGGCCGCCAGAAATAGAAATAATCTTTATTCAAATAAACTTAACAGCACTTTTGAATAGTCATAATTTTTATTCTACCACTCATTCGGAACAAGAAACTTATATAGTAATAAAATAATCTCTTTACGTTAAATGTTTAACTGAGTAGGCAAAGAGAAATGACAAAGGCTCTAAAATGCGTGCATACATCTCTGTAGATAATATATATTCGGTCCCGAAATTCCGGGTCGCAATAAATAGATGCTAGGAATTCGCTGAAGCTAAAATCTCGATAATTTAGCATTTCCCGCTGCTTTTGTATCAGGAATTATTATTTATGTATGTTTTTAAGAGCACTTTTTGTTAAATTGTGGATTATAATATATTTATTGATTGCCAAGTATCGGAAGTATAACTATACTTAGATTTAAAAAGTCACAATTATTAAAATCCATAATGAAATTCCACACAAAAAATGTTAGATGAAATTCTATGGTAAGTTTTATAAAAATACTAGCTGATTCAGCAAACGTTGTTTTGCCATATAAATTAATGTCGCTATTAGTAAATAGGGGTTGGTGGTAGAAGGGTGAACATTTAGAAATGTGTATATTTTTATCTAACCAATTATTCATATAAAATTTCTAAATCGGTGAATCCGTTTTGGAGGAGAGGCAACTAACACTGTGACACGATAATTTTATATATTGGATTAACCACAGTACTTCCAGACACCCCCTTATCTGAGTAATGGGGTTTGTAAAGAAATTCTACATTCTAGTTATCCATGCTGTTATAACTTAGAAATAGAAAATCTACTTTTTTTTTATTGATGTGACGTCCTTTGAATTTGTGCGTCAACCTTTTCTATAGCGGGAGTTCATAAATTCAAAGCGATTCAACGAGCAGCGATTACAACGTAATTAAATTTTGCATTTGTGTGCGTGCAGGTGGTGAGGTGGTTCTGCACGAGAGGCGATGCTGGGCGGGGCGGCGGGGGGCGCCCGCTCCCGCCCGCCCTCTGACCTGCACCAAGGTATGTAAACCTGGTACTTATTTTTAATGTAACAGTCCGATTTTTAATAATAAAAAAAATAAGTTAAAAAAAATGTAGGTGGTAGGTAATTGGAACGCCCGCCCTCTAACTTGCACCGAGGTATGTAAACCTGGTACTTATTTTTAATGTAACATTCCGATTTTTTAAAAAAAATTGATTTGGTTGACCATGGCTTTTTGTGTTTACACAATAATAATTTCTGATCGTCTGCTCTATAATATACATTTCGGATATTTAAATAACTTGTTTTAAAATGTTCTGTGTTTATTTAATAAGGAATAAGGAAAGTGGGTGATATTCTATCGCAATTTATTTCTGTTAGTTTGGTGTTTTACAGCGTTTCACATAGTATTTCTAGCTCAAAAAATAGCCTAGGGTCTAGAATGTATGTGTACGAAATTTAAATTAATTGGGTTCTGTAGCTTTGGCGCAACGTAACTCCGTCTGAGTTACTTTCGCATTAATAATATTAGTAAGAATGTTTCATTGGAGGTTGAGATGTGGTAGTGAAATTACGGTTACGCAGTTATGATATCTTAGTCCTCCGTAATGACAACGCATGAATACCATAATCAGGCATGTTGTATCCACAACTAAAGAGATCGATGGAAAATCTTGAAAAAAATGCTGCATCGCCATGAGCGCGGCTCTTTAATCATAAATATATATAAGTATAATTTATCTAAAATCTCGATAATTCAGCATTCTCCTCTCTTTATCATATCAGGAATTATTTTTCATTTGTACATATGTGTACAGGAACTTTAGTTTGTAGATAAGTTCATACTTATAATTAGTCAAATCTGTAATCTTCTTTAAAAAATGTTAGAGCAACTGCGACAGTTATCACTTACCATCAGATGCAACGTATAATCCAATTATAAATACTGAAAAGCTACAATTCGCTGCTATTTTCTGTTATAATTGAGTTTGTTTTGTACCCAGGTGTGGCCCGATTTCCGCTGTACTCATTATTTCCGACACAGCCAGGCAGTCGTCCAACTATACACAAAGGTGAGAAAGTGGAGATACAATAATATGTAGAAATAATGTTACATATGAATGTGGATGGTTATAATGGTAGAGGAAGGCCAAAAAAGAGATGGATGGACTGTGTGAAAGATGATATGGTAAGAAAGGGAGTAAATAACGAGATCATCGCGAAGAGGGATGAATGGAAGAGAAAAACATATTACGCCGACCACAAATGAGTGGGTAAGGAAGAAGCAGTTTATGATGATGCAGAATTTAATTTTGTAAGGGCCGAGATAGGCCGAAGAGGAAAGGACTGTGTGAAAGATGATGTAGTATGAAAGGGAGTAAATAACGAGATGATGCGAACATCGAAAATGCGATCTGCAAAAATGGGATAAGGAAGAAGCAGATGATGATGATGTAGAATTTTTGTTTTTAAGGACTGTTTTAATTTACATGTAGAATTGTAAATTTTGTTGATAAGCAATATATAATATGTAATTTTAATATAATCTTTATTACTTTATTAGTCTCAAAATTGTATTTAATTTCATTTTTCTATTTAAATGGCTAACTTTGTGTTAGTTGCAATCAAAAATTCGATTTTAAACCAAACTATTGAAATAATATTGATCAATTTAGTATGTATGAGACCAATCGAAATTATATATAATATATGATATTGAAAAAAAAACAAACATAAAAAAAAATAGAACTGATTTGATAGCCTGTATTTTAAGTCGGTTAATTCTAACACAAATTTAGCTATATACAGTTTGAGCTAAAACTATGTCTATGTAAAGTTATTTTTTTATTAACTTGTCTGATTTCTTGTTCTGATTGAATCTACTCATGTATGAATTTCTTTCTTTCTTTCATTTCCTAAGCAGGTCTGTTACCAGTAGGACACACGGTAGGATCAAATGATATACATATATCGGCAATAACTGAATGAATAATAAATTCTGAATGATAATATAAATTATGAATTCTGAAAAATTCTGAATGATAATATTTGAATAACAGGTTATTTGTAATATTATTATTCTGAAATTTTCAGAATTCATAATTCATTTTCGTTCAGAATTCATAACATTAATATACATTCATTCAGAAATCTGAATTATAAATTAATGTCCTACTGATACGAGTATAAACGATATCGGTTTCGAACACTGTTTTGCCAATGGCCGCGGGTTCGATTCCTCGCACGGTACAAACATTTTTATTCAAGTTTTTATGAATGTATTTAAATATTCTATCAGTTGTTTAGTATCCAAGCTCTGCTTAGCTTGGGGCTATATGGCTCTAATTGATAGTGTGATTCGTCTTGGAGTATTATAATATATCAAATATTATAAAGAAGCATGATTTGAGTTTTAATGTAGAAACTAAAAGATATCTGATTTTAATAATATTTTTATTAATATTATTATTAAGTAGCATGTACAGTATTGTATTTTCATAAAATTTAGAGATTCCTACAATAGTTACATTCCGATATGTTCCCCATTTTAGTCAGCTACAAAACAGTCTTTGTAGCTGGATATGAGGACGGGATATGACCGAAAAATTACAGTATAGGGACAGAATAGCATATCATGAGTCTGTGGATCTTTATGTATATAGGTCATGTTTACCACTTACCAATGGTGGACCGTCATACCTTTTATGCCTTTCCTATTACCTAAAAAAGGGTATATACAAGCAATATGTTCCGTAGTATTTGACGTAAAACTACTAGACAGTCTCGAATGATATTTAGCAAATACACAGATCATATCTAAGATTGATACATAGGATTTTTACCCGAATCCCAGTGGGATGTGACATTTGTAATATTTCTGGTAACACTCGAAGGGATCAGACTATTTGCTTTTGACACAATTGCAATAGCATATACTGGTGGTCATTCTATTCTTCCAAATTTGAATTTAAAAATGAATCTGTATTATTGTAAACATTCTTTGAAAAGAATACGAGCTGAATTTCTTGTCACTTCTTCTCAGCCCGAAAGCACTCCGAACTGACGTTAGATTTGACATATCATAAGAATCTGTAATAGATACATTAATAAAGATATTTTGATTTGATTTGATTTGAATATAATAATTACATTACAAAATGTCTGACAGTATCGCTATATATGAGGACGTATGAAGCTAGTTACAATTCTTAATAAGTTATGTTCATTTGAACGTTCCATATCAGCCTGTTTATTTAAATCAGCCCAAGGGTCTACCGGTTCCGTGCATCACGGCGACAGGCTCAAACATACCGAGTACTGATAGTGTTGTGAAACGTATTTTGTTTAATTTACCAAAAATTCGATAAATTTACACCCATACTCTATAACATTCGAATTTGATAGATAGTAATATAGAATAGAGACGCACTATCAAGTTTCCGCACTGAATATTTGTGTTCTGACATACACTAATTGTAGCGGAAATGAACAAAATCATATGAATCCATTAGTTGGTGAAGTGAAATGGATTTCTGTTAAATAACACATAATCCGATAAAATACATAGATGATTATTTTTATTCTATTTTTTCATGCAAATTGTCGAAAAGAAAAAACAAATTCAGTCATAATACGGCTCCAAAAATAAGGTTACCGAAAAATATTCGATAGCGGTAAAATCAATTTCCTGATTAATTAATCGATTGTTAAGGTTATAATAATCAATTTTTAACACAACATGTCACATCACTAACTGAGAGCCGGGCTCCGCATCCACTATACTGTTTTGTTGGAGTCTTCCGAGGTATTCGTTATGACACTTGACATGACTTATGAATATTGATCACGTAGCGAGAACTTAGCCACATGTAAGTGGCAGTGTATTTAAACAATTAGATAGTACTAGCAACTCGCTACAGGATACAGATGCAGTATTGCACGCTGTTGCAGGATAATAATACGATGTTATCGATTGAGACGATGATACTACAGATGATAGTGAACTGACAAAATTATAAACATATCGTAGTAAAATAATAAAATGTAAGATGGGGTGACACAGTTTAAACATAGTGCTGAGTAGACAATATTTAGTTTGTCTTACTGGTCATAATTACAAGTATTACATTGAAGTATCTAGGTAACTGTGACCTATACAGGAGTCTCTTTTCTTTTTCTTAGCACTGTCCCCCTGTGGGTTCGGCTAATTTTGCGTCTCCAGGAGAATCTGTCCTAGGTTGTCGGGTCGGGCAATTTTCCCATCGCGATAAGATTACAGGATTTAATTATTTTCACCAAATACTCACTGTTAACGTAAAACTTTATTGGTGATATTATGAAAACCTACACTCTCCTATGAACTCCTAGTGTCAAAGGATCAGGATTCGTTCAAATATGTATATAAAAATTAAAATCGCCTCTTTAAGGTGAATGGTTTCAAAATTCAATTTGTTATTTGACGCAAGTGAATTTGATGCTGCAGCATCCAATTTATAGGTAGGCAATGATATTTGAGTCTACTCCGAGGCTGTGAATAGCGCTTGTACTGAAATCTCTTATACATAACTAATTCCTCAGAATAAATACTTCCCCAAAATTTTGATTTATGTAAATTAAATGGCCAGCGTGCTGATGCATGAAATTTACTTACATTACGAAAATAATTTTAGTTTCTTGAATTGTCCACTGCGTTTTGGTTTTGTATAGATACCCTACTGTTAGCACATCTGTTACTGTTGCCACATTGAAAATTGTCATCTGTAGGGCCTTTAATATTAGCTTCTTTTTATTGTGATAATCATCACCATACATTGCCGTCATCGGACGCCACATGTGCCAGAGTTGAGTATAGCTGCGTAATGACAATTCCTTGTCTTTTATCGCAACATTAGCGCTCATATCACAAGTAGTATCTTTAATGTAGCTTTTTTTTTTTAATAATTATAATGGGATGGTTCTCACGCCTCATCTGATGGTAGACACAGGTGATTGATAGATGATAGAATTAGAATGAGGTCGGCCAGGTAACCTAACATGATGAATACATCATTAATAACAATGTTTTTAAGACAATCACGGAAAGGTTGACTTGATAAAATTCAGATCTGGCTATAGAGATAATATTACTAACAATCTCTATAAATAAATCTTTATGAAGTTAGCGACATATTATGATACAACTTAGTTCTAAGGTCAACTCTAAACAACCTACAGAGCCTTGTGGGTTAGTGATTTACTACCGACACCGGCACAAAGTGAATTGAAATTTAATCTGGACTGTGAGGTAGATAACAAAGCAAATTATTCCAAGAAGCAATGAACTCTATGTCCTACCACTTTGTTTTCAAATATATCCAGTGAAATGTTAAGTGTTGCATTTATCACAACGTCAACAGTTGATAATGCACTTGATCAGTTCAATGTATATTGTTGTCTATAGGTATATGATCACCACTTACTGCCAAGTCCTAGTCCTATTGGTCTTCACAATTAAAATAAGCCACAAACGAAGCCGCGGGCTGCTAGCAAGGTTATACAATAAACATGCTATAGAGTAACATATTACGAGCCACATGTGCGCGTGAGTCGCCAACTGCGGAGTGACAGTATAATTAAGGTCCCACGTCCCTTAGGCCACGACGGAAATAGACTCGTCCACTCACGCGCTACTCTTGTATGGGTGTCTGTTCACAGCGCCGGGAATATCGTGAGATTTGCAAGACTTCTGATATATTATTGGTAATAATGAGTTGCCATAAATTAATGTCATGTGCTTTCCCTTTATTTGAGAGGATTTTGAGAATCGTAACTAACATCGTGTAAATTTAGCTTTGCTGTTGTTATTGCTTGCTGTTTAATGTATTGGATTGTTAATCAAATTAAAAAATATTTAGTTATTTATTTAGAGGCTTGGACTATTACTCGGTGCTAAAGAGACCGCACTGCGACCTTCATAGATCTATTGTGATTGCTTTTATAAAATTAGGCACTAGGCTAGGCACGTTATCGTCTGAATTGATATTCTTAGGAACGATGGTTTTTATCTCCTCAGGATAGAGTACACTTTCCAAAGGAGATATTTCGTTTATGTATGAATTTACTACAACCACATAGGACGTGTAGTGGCGTTTCCTCTGCTATTTGGCACATTCAGTGCTAACTATATGGTGAAACTTCTGCTACTAAAGACATTAAGCTTTAGTTTTCTGATGTAGTAGTCTGTAGGATTTTGTAGATGAGACACTGGATTTTATAACGCGAACCGTTAGTTTCTATTTGTATATAGATAAAAAAACAGTAGTGGTTATTATAAAGAGGATCATCAAAAGTTTAGGACAAATAAATACGATTATATCATCACAAACAGTTTCCACAGTAACTTCATTGTGGATGTATTTTTTATCAAGTTCTATATGGCGAACTGTAGTCGTATTTTCTAAGAATAGTGTACAATAGTTTCTTTACAATATCTATATGGTTTTAAGTACACTTGAAGAGTCACAGGCGACTAATAAAATTGAAAAGTTTATAAGTGATAATAATGTTTTTGTAGAAAATATCTAACTTAAAATTCATAGCGCTGACAATGTTATCTGATTGAACAGAGATTAAGTGCGTAGCGGTTTCTATGTTGATTGTCGCATGCTTAAACCTTGTTAATGCAAATCTAATTAAAACAATACTTATTTAAAAGAGCAACACTTCATTCTTCTTGGTATGAAGTTTTTCATCCGAATGAGCGGTAGAATAAAAATGTGACTATAGAAAAGTGCTTATATTAAGTTTATTTGGGTAAAGATTATTTCTATTCTTTCTATTCTACTTACAACAACAGATAATGAGGGACACCATTTAAGAGATGGGTTGGTGACATAGAAGCCGTAGTAGGTGGCACATGGACTAGGTTAGGGTTAGAGAGAGATGGAACATGTAGGTAGGTACCTTTGTCATTAGTGGCATACAGACAGGTTGTTAATGTAAATCAAATCAAATAAAAAATCATTTATGACTTTGCTCAATAAATATGATTTAACAGATATTGTTTTACTTAAAGGTAATTCCAGTATATCGTTTGGTATCTTATTGTATTTTTTTTTTGTAATGGGTTTGATGACATAAAAGCCGCAGCAGGTGGCACATGAACAAGGGTAGCTAGGGATAGAGAGAGACGGAAAATGTTGGAGGCCTTTGCGAGTTAGTGGCATATAGATAGGTTAAAGCATATATATATAATTATTTTATACTGTAATAAAAACTGTACTGTTTCCATAAATTATGTTTTTATGACGGCCAATGTGGTCTATCGGTAAATACACCGCTTTACTTCCGATGGTCGCGGGTTCGATTCCTCGCAAGGTATCAACATTTATACTCATGAGTGATAATTGTTTGTATCGGTCTGGATATATTCTATGTATATTATATATGTATTTATAAAAAAATATCTATTTATTCATACCAGTTGTCTAGTTCCCATAACACAAGCTCTGCTTACCGTGGGAATAGATGGCACTGTGTTAATTCTCCTGGGTTATTTATTATTATAGGATCGATGAGAGATCTTAATCAGCGATTATAATAAGTATTATTTTTGTACAGTGACTGAGAGTTTGCTGTCGACGTCACTATCGAGTTTCGGTGTGCAAACTCCACCACCGAACTCTCCGTACTCACCGCTGCAGGTTGAGTTGCTCAACTGCTCCCAGCGAGTACTCCTCACTGACAAGTAAGTTATGCTTATTTTAAGTTAAGTTATGCTCAGTTTCGGTGTGCAAACTCCACCACCGAACTCTCCGTACTCACCGCTGCAGGTTGAGTTGCTCAACTGCTCCCAGCGAGTACTCCTCACTGACAAGTAAGTTATGCTTATTTTAAGTTAAGTTATGCTTAGTTTCGGTGTGCAAACTCTACCACCGAACTCGCAATACTCACCGCTGTAGGTTGAGTTGCTCAACTGCCTCCAGCGAGTACTCCTCACTGACAAGTAAGTTATGCTTATTTTAAGTTAAGTTATGCTCAGTATCGGTGTGCAAACTCCACCACCGAACTCTCCGTAGTCACCACTGCAGGTTGAGTTGCTCAACTGCCTCCAGCGAGTACTCCTCACTGACAAGTAAGTTATGCTTATTTTAAAACTTAATTTATGCCTATTATAAATCAATCGGGGACCAAAGTTACGACCGCCTGAGCTGAGGTTCAAATTCCTAGCGGTGTCCTCATACTAAAGTTGTATCCATCAGGCGGGAGTTGGCCTTCAGTCGCTCCAAAAGTCTTTTAGGTTTGGATTGCCATCTGCAGTCGCCCCCTATCTTCCGGTGAAGCTGTAAAGTCCGGCGTTCAACAGCTTTAGAGTAGCCCGAAAAAAACCGCTTTAGTTTTGATGGTAGCGGGTTCTATTCCTCGGACGGTACACACATTTGTATTCATTATTATTTGTATCAGTCTGGGTGTTTTGTAGTGGTTGTTGTCTAATACACATAACACAAGCTCTGCTTACCTTGGAATTAGATAATGTGTGATTTTTTCTAGGTTATTATTATTATTAAACATATATGCCGTTAATGTTACATCTGGCTGTTGTGGCATTATATTCGTGGTAATCAGATGTATCACATGTTACAACCTGTTTTAATGGAATGCACTGCGGGTAGAGTACCCGTACCCGCTTGCGGTAACGGTTTCAAATTTGTGTGAAATCTGACACCAGTGGAGGATGAAGTCAGATCTGACAGCCCATTGCTTACTTTCAGTAGTAATGCTATGTTTTTTTTAAAAAAGATCTGTAATACATACATGGTAGGAATGATAGAGATCTGTCCCACCTACAATTCAATCGGGGATCGAAATTACGACGATCTGAGCCAAGCGAACCCCTAGCGGTGCACTCCGACTAAAGTCGTATCCCTCAGGCGAGAGTTGGCCTTCAGCCGCTCCATAAGTTCTTCCGCGTGGTTTGAATGGCGGAACTAAACCCTATTGTTCGCTGAAGTTATAAAAAAATCAGCTGGGCCCAACAGAATTAGGATGGTTCCAAAGGAAAGATAAATAAATATTAAGTTTATACTTACATACGCAATTTACAACATAGAATAAAAAGAATTAAAAAAAAATTGTATAGGAAAAAAGAAGCAAAAACTATCTTCTGTTAACTCTCAGCGTTATGTGCACCACTATGATGCAAAAAAAGCAGTAACTCAGTGCATTACTCTCTCATTTTTTTTAATTAAATCACTGGTTAATTTAATTTTATTCATAAAAATTCTGTCCATTTAACAGAGATCCCAACAAAATGGATGAGGCTAAACTGGGGAAACCATGTCTGCCTGACACGCTCTGTTGTCCTGGTGACCGGCAGCTCCTCGACGGGCTGACCGTCATGCAGCCGCTCACCATAAAGACGGAGCAGGCGAAACGCTCGTGCAATACATGCTTGACGAATTCTCCTAAAAAAGTAAGTTAAGATCATTTGACTTTAAAGATTTTCTTAATAGAATAAGTGATATTTATTGCCTGTCCAAAATACCTAACCACTTGCGATGTACCTACCGTTTCGATAAATTATATGTAAGGATTAATATCATTTACTTACGTTCTTTATCTGTGTATCTATAAAAATAAATAAATTTCAAGAGTCTGTTTGTTGTTCTTTCACGTATAAAAGTATATACAGTAACTTAGGTAATAAAAAAAAAATTGTTTGTCTGTCTGTTTTGTCTTGCTAATCTCTGAAACGGTAGCCCCGATTTTGACAGGACACGCAGATAGCTATTGTTAATGCTTCTTACGACAGTAGCCATATGCGAGTATAAGTTATACTCCCTATAAAAGAGTAACTTAGGCTAGTTTTCTTAATTTTAATAAAAAAATAAATGCCACGCGGACAAAGTCGCGGATAACAGCTAGTTATAGATAAAAATAATGGAAACATTTATATCAGGTGGTTGTGACGTATCACGAAAATATTGTTAATTTAAATCGTGATTCAACACGACCAAACGACCATAGTACGATCGATACTGATCCAGAAATAACAAAAGACAAAAAATTCGTGTTTATTTCATTAATATTATACACCAAAAATATGTCATTGTATTAGGAATGCAGACGTGACCTATAAGTATAAGTAATAATATAATACTTGTATTATTACAGTTAACAAACACAGTACATTCAATGTTCTTAATTTGAAATTTTTGCTTTGAAATATAGGTTATTCACACGGACGGCGGATGTAGCCGGACGAACCCAGTAACGTGGCTGGGGGTCACAGGTCAGAACGTGGTCCAGGTCAAACGAGAGCCTCAACACGTCCACGTCTCCGAATTGGTCGCTGTGAAATTAGAACAGGCCTCGCCGGGCAACAAGCCCGACCACACGCCTTCTATACCCGCATCGCTGAACAATGGTGAGACATCTGTGTTGTTATGCGATCCTAGTAGTTACGTACGCCAATACGCGAGACGGCGATGGATATTTACGCTCGCAAGAAGAGCAAGAAAAAGCCGCTCTAGGCAGGAGGCATGTGTCAACTCATATTTGAACTGAAATGCCTACCGCTTCTTCTAAATATGTACTAGGACCTTATTAAGATTAATGAAATAGATGGTCATAATTCAATTATATTTTACCTAAATTTCGCGCGCTCTAAATAAATGTTCATTAGTGAGAGTGTAATGAAAATATATAGGCATTTTATTTTGAATAGAAATGAAATTAATTCTCAGTAAATTAATCATCATTAACTTTGTAAAAGTCTTATTGCAACGACGGAGGGGATCTACACTTGCTTTAAGCATATCTTTTCCGCGGTAGGCAGAGAGGATCGGGAGATAAAGACACACTCACATCTATTCTATAAGGCAATTATATTTATTATTTATTATACAATACACTCGACTCGATACGATAGAGAGGGATATATCTACTACCTTACATATATCTCTTTTATTATTCACTTCTACAATTTATCAAATGCATGCCACCGGTTCGAGTCTTGTCGCTCTCAAAATACCGTCTGTATAAAGATATATCTATTATATAGATAATCAGTCTGACTCAGAAGAAGGAAGAAATGTGTATAGAGAAGAATTAACGACAAGCCAATACTATTCGGCTCTCTTTCTCTCCTGTTGGGTATGTGGGGTGAGAATAAATATTGGTTATATCAATATTTGTTCATCATTATTATTGACTGTAATTATCATTCGATGATTGCTTTAACGTAGCCAATAATGACTTCTTTATGATTTCCTAATATAACCAGAGGGATTTACTCGAAACATGCATAGCTACTTAGTTTAATTATCTACGAAGTAACTAAATAGTCGAACAAGATACTAAAGACAATGGGGGTGACTTTATCAATAGATTGGTACACAATACCAAAAAATAAAAAACGTCCCCCATCCAAGGGGCGACTGTAAGTAGCATAGTTTATTGTCATCATCGCTTAGAATTGAGAGAGCGTAACGTCATTAACCTGGCTTCGGGTGTATGTAGTAACTACTTAAAGATTCGTGTAATTAAGTAGAAAAACCTAGATTTTTTTATCTTTTTAAATACACATACAAAAATAAATGTACCTACTGAAAGTGTACAGAATAGTAAATATATGGCGTACTTAAATATAGTCGTTTGTTTTTAGTCCCGAATTATGATGAGTAAAATTCATTCTTACTTAAAAGTTACATTTTGTAGTATAAAAATCATTGTTATTTGATAATTAATAATGAAACTACTTTTCATACCTGTATAATAATGTAGTAGCAATGAAATGATGTACGTAAGTTGATACAAAAAGTGTAGCCAGTGTGTTTATAAAGATCATCTTACAGGTTCCATTCCCGTTGGCATTGCGGTTGCCCGACAGCGAGTCGGCGATGCGGGCCTACTCGCGGCGCTGTCTCAGAAAGACGCCCAACAAAGAATGCACGATATTGGTATGTCTACATCACTACTCTTTGATATAAGATAAAGATTTCCCCTCACTACAAGGAAACTCGTTCTCTTTCCATTTGTACGGCACAACATTCCTACTCACTCACACAGTCTTATCTCCGTTATTGACAGTCACATCGATAGTGCTTACGCCATCGATAGACAGACGCCTCCTCGACACTTCTGTAAGCCTGGTACTACTATGTATTTACCGTGATGCGCTTGGTAATGAAAAAAAAAGTAAATTAAAAGCTATCGAAGGCCACGTAAGTAAGAACGGGCTGTGTTAGAAAAAAAACCGCTGCTAGGACTGTACTGCGTTCGTGTTAAGGTCTATTTTTGAGTGCCGCGCTCAAATTGATTACAGGCTGTTTTAATTTCAAGGTGTAACTGATTTTTCTATTTCTTTTGCTTTGCAAAAAATGTAATTAAATGAATATTACCGAAGCATAAGAAGTACTCTGTAATAAGGCTTAATTCAATAGTGTTTTAAATGCGTATTGAATAAAAATTAATAGCAGCGACGCGACGACGCTTCCTTCGTTTTTCAAAATTGCTCCGAAACGGTTTAACTGATTTTCACGAAAATTTATATGTATACTCAGTAGGTCTGTGAATAGATTATATCCTAGATAATATGTTTTATACCCCTATGTGATAAGGGTGGGCCACCCCAAAATTATGTTTTTATTTTCGTACAAAATTTTTTTATTTTTTTGTATTATAAATACACTCCTAAAGTTTCTCCCTTCTACCGCCAACCCATTTTTTAATAGCGATATAAATTTACATGACAAAACTACTGTTGCCGGGTAGGCAAGTAGTCATATATTATTATTATTTCATCAAGTTATTATATTGTTATTATATTATATTATTAATTATTATAGATCTTTGGGAGAGGCCTTGGTTCAGCAGTGGACGTCTTCCGGGCTGAGATGATGATGATGATGATAGTAATTATACCATCTAAAGACTTTCCCCAATAGATTCTTAAACAGTTTTCAGTATCCTATACGCTGTGGTAAGCATCGAATATGAATGAATCGAATAAAAGGGGCTGAATTTCTCGTCAGAAATCCAGGCAAGCGTATTCATTTTGTTCTTTTATTTCGTTGTTACGAATTTATACATTTTCTATAATACATTTCTTCTGTGCTGCGCCTACGTGCATTGTTCCCTTAATTTGATCAATTACATCATCTGGTTCTTGTTTTGTGAATTCTTCTACGTTTATTTAGGCACTATATGTATTTAATACATTTTTTCTGAGCTGTGCCTACGTGCATTATTCTCTTAATATGATCAATTTCATTATCTGGTTCTTGTTTTGTGAATTCTTCTACATTTATTTGGGCTCTATATGTATATAATACATTTCTTCTGAGCTGCGCCTACGTGCATTATTCTCTTAATATGATCAATTTCATCATCTGGTTCTTGTTTTGTGAATTCTTCTACATTTATTTGGGCTCTATATGTATATAATACATTTCTTCTGAGCTGCGCCTACTTGCATTATTGCCTTAATTTGATCAATTTGATCACCTGGTCCTTGTTTCTCGAATTATTCTATTTATTTAAGGCACTATATGTATATAATAATAATAATAACAACCCTGGACAGTCCATACAGCTCTATCTAGTCCCAAGCAGTGTTTTATGCTATGGGTAATATACATTTTTAGACAATATCCAGACCCAGACCCTCATGAATACAAATGTCTGCACTGTGCGAGGAATCGAACACGCGACTATCGGAAATAAAGCTGAACCGTTAGGTCACCAAGACCGTCAACATCCAAGTGTCTAAGAAGCTAGCTTTTACTTGCAACTTCGTATATATTAACTTCCAGAATATTATTAGAGATAAATGATATCTTCACATCAAATTTCATTACGTTTAGTTCAGTTGTTTTAAACATCAAACAGATAGTATAGTTGTAAATGTTTCTTTTTATCTATACATACAAATAAAATTGGAGTGCCTGTTTGTCATATTGAAATAACCGCTTTTTACTACATGAATATAAATACGGTACGTAGACCAAAATACCATTTTTTACAATTTTTGTCTGTCTATCTGTCTGTTTGTTCCGGCTAATCTCTGAAATGGCTGGACCGATTTTGACGGGACTTTTATTAGCAGGTAGCTGATGTAATAAGGAGTAACTTAAGCTACTTTTATTTTAGAAAAATCAACTTAAATTCCACCCGTACGAAGTCGCGGGTAAATCTAGTTGCAAATAAAATATTGCACATATCCTGTCTGTCTAATATCATGTATAGACTTGTAACCATGACAATCCATTAGTATTCCTTTGCTGAACATGGACCTCTCCAAAAAAAGCGGGCTATTAGACTTCTATTGCTGCGCCACTCTGGCCGCCTTTTTATAAAGTTTTTTTATTTTCTCCCTCGTGCACTACTAGTCTATTGTACTTTTTGACATTCGGGAATGAAAAAGTGCTGATATTGTATACTTTTTTCTCCATTTAACATTTTCGGTGATGGTACCTTACTACCTTTTAATTTTATTCGTGTTAAGTAGGAAACTTATTTCTTTTACTTATTGCTTCTGGCTGTGGATCTGTAATATGAATGCCTAAATTAAAGTTGATGCTATTATATGGAAATCAACTGTATTCTATTATATAATTATTTGGTAAAGTAAAAATATGAAACCAAGTTTTGCATCCTTAAATAAATTTTTTGATTTTTTTATATTAGTTCTGCTCTGAGTCTCTAATATGTATTCGGAACACATAACTCAAGATTAGTGCGATTTTATGGCAATCACCTATATTCACCTATATTCTATTATACACATTATTAGAGAAACTAAAATATACAAAACTAAGTTTTGCAGAAATATCAAATCAGTCAAATGAAATTTTGCGGAAATCACTTAGGTACCAACAGTTTCATTAGCCTCGTCCACCTCGTTTGTTCCTTATGCTAATTGTACAAACATAGAATATAATACATATAACTTAAACATTAGTACTTAAGGACTTCTTTAACGTTTATTTTGCCCGTTACGAACAAACTACTCGTGCATGTCCGATGGCTGCGTAATTGCGGTTTTCCTCACTGCGGACATTTTAATTTGTTGTAATATTCCATTTGTGTGCAGCTTTTGTATTGCGATTTATGATATGCGTTAGTATCCGACAATTATATGCTAATAAGAAATTATGCATTGTCGATATAACCTAGAGATATTTTATCGTATAGTTCACTTGAAGCTATATATTTAACGACGGAGGTCGTTTTATTTAAAGACTAGTCATTAACTGTGACTACGTCTACTTTGTTTTTAGATAATAGATCACACTGTCTAACTTCAAGTCTATCATTGAGATCGGTTCAGATATTTAGTCGTGGAATGATAAACAGACGAACAGATGTATTTATAATCCATATAAATGGTTAATGCTGTAAGTAATAAAAAACCACATAGTGTATCTAAACGCGCAGTCGCGGGAGTCGCAAGTTCGTGTTAACATCCTACTGCTACTCTAGCGGCGTTGGCCGGCCATGTAGATGGTGTAGGGCAGACCTAATCTCATTATTAGGGCGACCTATTAGATCCTACTCAATTGTGGAAGAGTGTTTACACATCTCTGGCGCCATTTAGTTAGGCCCCTAAAATTACCAGTCCTGCCTGCATGCATCACTCGCAAGTTGCCCAATTTTTGACAATATCTGAGTTGCGCAGTAAATAGTGACAGTAAGTTGTGTCTCGAAGCACAGTATTGTGCATAGCAATTTTGTGATCACAAATATATATTATTTCTTAACTCATTTCTATTAAGTAGTTAACTATTAAATACGACAAGAATAATTATCCAGAACAATTCACAGAGCGCCATTTAGTCTCGAACTAGGCAAAGCATTTACTAAAGTTATATAAAAGAGTACATCCGAACTAGTATTATAGATACAAAAGTTTGTTTTACTGTTTGTCTTTCTGTAACTTTTTCACGACAAAACGGCTGAGTTAAATTTTGCGCTACAATAGACTATATTGCTAGGACAGATAGGCATCTTTTATCTCATAAAAAAGTGGACGTAATCATGGGAAAGAGCTAGTACGTACAACACATAGAAAACTCCCAGATCAATACAAAAATTTATACATTTGAGGAATCGAATCCCCGACCGAAATATAAGCGAAATAATGCGATGTAATAAACTGCTACACCAACGAAGTCTAATTCAATGTTTTATTCACATTAAACGAATGGATTTCCTTCTATGGAATTTAAAATGTTTAATACATAAACATTATCGTGCGGTTACAAAGGTTAACCGCTTATGGTTAATCGATTACTAACCAACGCCTGGCATTTGTCTACGCAATATAACATCTAAAGAATTCCACCATTATCCGCTAACTAACCGCTCGATCCTTCAAGGCTGTGAACTTAACTACGTGAGTTTCATTTCCATTATTAATATAATTGTGAATTTTATTATCCAAACTCCTTTCTCCTCCTTATATATAAAATTCTATTATCACAGTATTATTTGCTCTTCCTTCTTCGCGATCCTTCTCCTTAACGACTTAACCGATTTAGATAAAATTTAAATTTATATGTATACTCGGTAGGTTGTTTATTTTATGCACCCCCTATAGGCGACGGTTTTTTTATGGATGATAATGGACGCACCATGCACCCTCCTGCGCTAACGATTTACGCTAGAGGAGCACCAGTGGAGGATGATAAGATGAGCATGAGGTCAGGTCAGTTAGCCCATCGTGACAAATTCACCAAGAATTTATCACGATAGTTTCCACGGGGAACCACGTGGAGGTCAACCTGACTTGGTATATTGCTAGCAATAAGATCATCCGTCCACATTACTAACAATCCCTTTTCCACCTATAGGCGATGGTTGGGACTTACCATTCGGTGGTTCCAAAAAAACAAGGCTTACAGTTTTCACATCTTTTTATTAGAAAACGGTAAGTGGTCATGGTAGGATGACCTAAGCC